TAATAATGCGTGAAATACAAACTTTTAAATATCCACTATACATCTTGAAAAACATTTGCTGATAGTGTTGCTATTTAGTGGCACCACACATCAAGGATAAATATTTTGATATTTTGTCTACTCATAAGCATTGATTTCAGGTTGGCAAGTTAATATGTCGACATTTTTCGTAAAAGGAGCAACCGACAGAGCGACATATAAAAATTGTATCTAAAAATAGAACATGCATCGAATGCCCTAGCCACATAGCAGTGTCAGATAGAAAAATAAGAAAGTTAGGTTCAGTCCTGGCTGAAGACATAACCGAGAATACTTGCCTATTGTCAGTGTTCGTGTTTTTACCAGACATCTTGCTATTATCTTTTTTTGCCAACGGCTTCTGGTGAGACAGGATAAAGTAGATGAGTAAGACAAAAAACTCATTTTCGCTCAAGATATAAAAGCATTGTTGTCTTCATTCTAAACTTTACTCGGATTATTTATGTCATTTCCCCAAATGTTTAGGTTGCTTTATTCTACTGCGTATGGAAAGTAGTGTGTTTTTTTTTTACGATAGTGCAAATCAGAAAATGGTTGCAAACAGAAAATTCAAATCGTTCATAAGAATCTCAAACTATATTAAACAAAGTTCTCTACAGTGTTCTCACTTTATTCGCCATTTTTTGTTTCTTTTGTCATCCTGGTTTTCATTTAATGTACAAGTTAATCTGTTTTCAATAAAGTATTTAATACACGTTATCACATGATTTGTATGTTTCTGATTTGAAGCATCAGAAAAAGAGGTTTTTCTTCTTCCTTAAGAGGATGCCTGATTTCTGGAGTTTCGTCTTCCAAGCAGTACCCATTGCAGTAAAAGGCTAGGGTTAATGGGCATACTCTGACATCAGTGGCAATATGCTAATGGTATTGGTATCAGGTCATCCCATAAGTTCTGTCCGAATTTTGAATAAAGAAAACAAGTAACCAAATGTTACATTTAATTACAGATTCAATCAACAATGTATTTTCCCTGATTATCTATGACTTCCTTTCATCTATTAACAAGATTACTAATTCCATCAATGTAAAATTCTTTTGGTTTTGATTCGAAGAACTCAAAAATGTCAGTTTTAACCTCTTCCTGTGTTACAAAAGTTGTTTCTTCCAAATGAGTCTGTAAGCTACGAAATAAATGGTAGTCTGAAGGAGCAAGATCGGGAGAATAAGGTGGATGAGGAATTTTCTCCCAACCAAGTTCTTCGATCTTTTGTGACGTGATTCTTGCTATGTGGTGTCGTGCATTATACTGATGAAACATCACTTCTTTTCGATTCACTAGAGCAGGTCTTTTTTACCTCAAAGCTTGGTTCAAACGCTTTAATTGCTGACAGTATATTTGAGCATTAATTGTTGCATTAGGTGGTAAGAATTCAAAGTGGATTATTCCTTAGCGATCCCACCAGATTGAAAGAAGAACGTTTTGCCCATGAAGTTCCCTTCTCGGCTGTGGCTGGGGTCCTTCCCCTTTACCAAGCCACTATCTACGACGCTTAACATTTCGATAAAAGATTCATTTTTCGTCGCCAGTCACAAATCTATCCAAAAAAGGTGCAACAAGTTGGCAAGAATGGAGAGAAGAGCAGATGTCAACTCGGGATTTGAGGTTGTTTTCAGACAATTCATGCGGCACTCATTTTCCAAGTTTAGGAACTTTTCCAAGTTGTTGAAGATGACGATGAACAGTTGTATGGTTTGAACTGAGAACCACTGCCAATTCCTCAACTGATAAAGCAGGATTTTCTTCAATGGCTGCTTCAAGGACGTCCGGTTCGATCTTCATCTTCAAGGGTGAAATCTCCACCTCTGAATTTTGCAAACCATCTTCTGCAAGTTCTTTCATTCACATATTCCTCTCCATAAACTGAGTGAATGTTTCTAGCCGCTTCGGCTGCTGAGTTTCCTTTCTTGAACTCATAAAGCATTATGTGCCTCAAATGATTCTTGGGTACTTCCATGTTAGCAGAGTTTTAATCAAACAAAATTTAATTTTATTGTTCTCTGAAATAAAATTTGCATTTGCATCTAAACATAAAAATAATGTTCAGCTCCATTAGACATTATAAAATACTCTTTAAATTTCGTTCATTTTATCAAAAAGTTAAAATTCGGACAGAACTTATGGAATGACCTGATAATACTTGCACCTAACTAACCTACGAAACTTTCCTCCGTTTATAAAGGCCTCGTTTTGAAGTTCGCTTCGACGAATAATGTATTATGGATATGACGCCAGAAGAAAGACGCAGAACACATTGACCGAACTTTATGCGAACAACTTAAACACCTTTTCGTGTGTAATGAATATTCTTAAACGTATACGCAATACCTTTTATATTATTTAACAGATGAATGCTATTCATTTAGAGTTTTATATTTGTTCCTCTATTTCTGGAATTAACTTTATATTTGTATGCCTTTCTTGGTGGTTTTCTAAAAATCGTCTTTGCTATTTCCTTCTGCTTGGAGCTTTATATCACATTTTATTATTTTGTTCAAAATAAAATCTTTTTAGTTAATAGAGGAATAAACTAAATACTTTTTACATTTTCATGGCATAATTTTATTACACCTTGTTGTTAGTTTATTATTCACTAGCTTAAAAGCCACATTCCGTGCAGACTTTTAAGCTAGCTTCAGCGAAGAGGTAATTACATCGGATGCCCAAAATTAAAGGAACCTCTGCTCCAGCTTAGAAAACAGCAATGATAATTTTGAAAAAATAACTTTGAATTCCTCACTTCACTCCATGGAACTTCAAAACCTCACTTTAACTCTGATTCGGTTTATAATTCCAATTCTGGCCAAAAGATTGATTTGGGCCGGAACTCCGAGTTGAACCGAAATTCCAATTCAGACCGAAAATTGAGTCCATCAAATCACAAACTCTGCAGAACTTCAAATTTTCACGTCACGAAACTTCTCACTTTAACTCTGATTCCTTGGCATTTTGAAGAAATAAAATTGATTTACTCAATTCACAAAGTTTTGGAGATATTCTAAACGGAATTTAAAACAATTTTTTAAAAATTCATAAAGTGTTTTTGTTGCTTTAAACTCAATATAAATTAAAAACATTTAAACTAATTTTTTCAGTTATTTTAAAATTTGAATTTTTAACTCTTCCAGACACAAATCTCAATGCTGTATATTCAAGCACCAGATGAAAGGCAAATTTTCAATCTTGTGATCATCCTGATTCCAAAAAGGTATAACATATCTATACAGAGCAAGTGTGACCCGAATTGGAGGTTTTCAGACACACACAGGGACAGGCAGAATTTGCCGTTTATTTAGAGTATTATCATTTATGAATATTATTCTTGAATTTTCCCATCTACTTCAGGAATCTCCATAGTATTCTTAATTTAAAAAAAATCCACCTAGGTCTTCCAATTCTTAAAATGTTTTAGCAAATGTACTCGGAAACTGCATCAATAATGACGGAGACAATTGCTATTTTCATTTTAAATTTTTTTTCTGATGAATTTTATTTGTTTCCATCAGTATTATTGTGTTGCTACAAGTAAATCTCAAACTATATTAAACAAAGTTCTCTACAATGTTCTCACTTTATTCACCATTTTTTGTTTCTTTTGTCATCCTGGTTTTCATTTAATATACATTAGGATTCTTCCTGTTGCATCTGAGATTATGGCACTTAACAATTTTTAAATATCTCATGTCTAGAAGTCTTTCGGGTATATTTACTCATAATTATCCATACTATCCATACTGTCCACTAGAATCGAGTTTGCTAGTCTTTGACTAGTAAGGCCGTATATGCTAGACACTTTATTTTATTCTAGCGATTCTTTTTCTTCTTCTTACGTTTTTTTTTTAATTTTCAGTCTAACAACAACTGTTTGATACAATTCTTTATAAAGTCTTTTTATCTGTTAAAGAAAGTTTTCCTTAGAAACCTATTGAGCATATTAAATTGACATTGAGAGATTTTCTCTGAGTATGGGAGCAATGCTCATAGGCACGATAATAGTTTTCTTGGAATATTTTAATGTGCGTATCATTCTAGGGGATCTTATTATTGGTTATAGAATATTATTATTATATTATATTATTGAATAGTGGTTGTTTAAATATCACATATATATATATATATTCTCTCTCTCTCTCTCTCTCTATATATATATATATATATATATATATATATATATATATATATATATGTAGTTGTTTAAATAAATATCACACACACACACACACACACACACATATATATATATATATATATATATATATATATATATATATATTTTTTATTATTGGTTATAGAATATTATTATATTATATTATTGAATAGTGGTTGTTTAAATATCACATACTTGTAATTTCTCCCTCCAGGTCGTTATATTTTAAAGGTTTGTCAAATTCTTGTGCTGAGATGTTTTATCAGACAGAATGTGCATGTCTATGAGATTAGCAATTGTAACTTTGAAGTTTTTATTATTATTATTATTATTATTATTATTATTATTATTATTATTATTATTATTATTATATCTGGATTGTATAGTTCGGTCGTTTTGGGCTTTGAAGTCCCCAAGCACTGTTACCTTCTTGCACTGGTGGTGATTTACATTTATACCGTTTCTTTGCATGGGGAAAGTTATGATATTGACATATGTAGGTATTTCCTTACCCTATCATGTAATATATTTAAGTCCATTTGAGGCTAGAGAAGGACACTGATGCTAGTTTATTGAATGTTTGTACAAAAGCCACACTAAAAACTGTCTTAGTTATGTAAATATGTGCCTGGAGGGTGTAACAACAGCTAAGGTGTTAATAACTTCAAATTTATTTTTTCTCATCTAATTAGTTTTATTTGCCGCCATTACTTGCCAAAATTTATATTTGATATTTTACTCTTTCACTTTTGCATGTTGGATTCCTCCATTTATTTTAAGATACATATACTCTTCCTCTTGTTCTCCTTAGACCATATTGAAACACCGGTTCCGTACGATCGTCGAAGTTAAGAATCATTGAGTCTGGTCAGTACATAGATGGGCAACCGCTTGGGAATACCAAGTGTTGTAAGCTTGGATGTGCTGGTGGTGTAATAGATAATGGCCCGGAGAACAGGGTTCTAATTCCAGTTGTGTTCTCTATATTCGCTTACACGCAAATTCTCTTGGAAAATGTACGAATCCACCCCTCCCCAAGCTATGTGTTAATTAATAACATATATCACAAAACCATTATTAAATCCAAAATAACTCTTACAATCTAAAAATATTTTCTGGCTTGAAATAACTTGCAAGTTGTTGATATGCCATAGAAAACGAATTAATCAATATTGTTCTACTTAGCGAATTACAGTTACTTTGTAAGTTTATTATTATTATCATTATTATTATTAAATAAATTTTCATAACTCTGTTAATTAAGTATTGTGATGTGTTTGACAGACACTGGGTTTCTGCATATGTTGCCATTACTCACAAAGAATTACGCACGCGAATCAGGTTACACTGAAAAGTTGTTCTGCATTAACTTCAGTATTTATTTTCATATTTCATTATCTGCAAGTATTTTACATGTCATCCAATAATTGTCTTTAATGAAAACACTTGGATGTGGTCATTTGACTAAATTTGATGTTCTTCAATGAAATTTAATTTCGGTAAAATACACATGACTAAACTCAGTTCCTTGATTATCTGAGCTGAATATCTGGGATGATTTACATTGTTTACATGCTGACTGTTGTCCTCATTATTTATGACCTTAGACTATAATGATTACTCGATAATTGTAGTATTGATAATTATACACGCATTAAATGAACAATGAAGCAAGGTGAAGAAAGGTGAATAAAAGAAGTTTGGAGTAGTAAAACAGAAGCAATGACAAGATGAGTGATAAAATTATTCTTATTATTTTTCAGTTATATAAACAACCACACTCATTCACAATCAGTAAAAAGCTGAAATTCTCTTATTTCCATAATAAAAAAATGCTATCAAATTTTCATATGATCTTCAATCGCTATCTGCAGATGACTTAACTTGTACTTATCATGGAAAAAAGGGTCAGTGGACGGTAGAGTTTTCGTGTATTTATGCGAGGGGGAGTTGGGGGAATCTCGGTCTGATAAAAAAAAGAGAATTATCTAGAATCCATGGAACGTAGATGCGATTCCACGTGTACATCTCAGAGTTCAACACATTGTACACATCATTTAACAACAACAATATTCTGATGTTTGGTTATTGGAATCCTGATTTGGGGGAAGTGAATTGTGCCGAGAAATTTTCAGCGTCCCATCGTAATTATAAAAGCATGGTAATGACCAGCCATTTTGAATGCCATTTGCCTTATTTCAATTAATAATCTCACACATTTCAAATTCAAAACTAGTTACTAAAAAGATTTTTCCTTTCTTCTATTGTCCAGTTACTTAAGTTCTGAAAACGATAAATTGAAATTGGGTGTAAAGCGAATACTGAACAATACACACGTATTTCTAGTAAAACTTATGAAACTATCTGATACATGGAATGTATCTCTTCAGTTTGAATTGAAAGGAAATAATTAGAAAAATGTATTTTTCTTTAATGAAAAACTATATTATTCGAGTTTGATTACTCTCGTTATTAACGATTTCAGATTGTGAGATTTTGGAGATTGACATTCACAATTGGATTGAACTATAAGCGAGGAATATTATTATCTTTTTGTCTATCACAATGCTAGCATTACCAATGGCATAGAAAATATCTAAATGGCTGATGAAGGGACAATGAGAAGACAATGAAATTAATGCCTTTTACATAACGGCATAAGTATGGTGTCTTGTGTAAAGTTTATCAAGATGGTCTACTTAAAATAAGTGGAACTTCTGCAAAAAATACCATTGTTGCCTTAAAATTTGATTAAAAACGAATCCCAGTAATTAAAAGCATGAACAATGAAATAAAATTACTTTCCATCTTTTATGAAGTGATGAGTGTCGCGTTGTTTATCATGTTTATCTTATATCTCAGATGTTTTAGAATATTGATACTGATGCCTAAAAATCTGATTGTAGTGAATTGTATAGCATTCTTCTATTTTCTTATCCCGTACTCGTTTAGCAGACGGATAAAAAGATGAAAAAAGAGCATCGCCTTTTAATCTTCCTTTTATTTGCGAAGATATGTTTTTGAAAAGACTTTCAAATTGTGTTTGCCGATTTCTTTTCTGATAGTTCCAGTTCCTTATATTGAGAATAGTTTTTCAATAGTTATTTTGAAATAAATACATTAATAGTTTACATACATTTGTCTTGATCTAACAAAGTATAAAAATGAGCCTTTCTATCTGTGCAATGTTACATTATACCGACGACGTCTTATAAGAACCTGGCCATTTAAGCGATTCATTTTCACTCTTTCTGAATTAGGGAGTTCAAATTAATATCTTTGTGAGCAAAATTAATTGTCAGTAAAGTACATCCATTCATTCATCCATACATAGAAGCTGGTAAACACACACACACACACACACACACACATATATATATATATATATATATTTGAATCCTGTCAAAGGACGAATATTTTCTATGAAAATTTCTCGGACATTCAGGCCGGTAAATGTTATTTAATACTGTTTATTATAAACAGAGCATTTACTTAAATACTTGTATCTATAAAAAAGAACGTTAAACATAAAAATAAATTGTCGGACTTTGTCCATTTCTTAATATTTATATATATGTATAAATGACATGTACAGTAATATATAAGTGGTATAGAAAGAAACTCCGACTCGCAGTCTTCAATTTAGGAAAACCCAAGACTCCCCGTTTCCAGTTTGCTGAATATGTCCTCTCTTGGGATATATAGAGGAATCTGGTTCGCTTTCCTATCAGCTATTCTGTGAATTACGATGTTATTATATCACGGATAAAAAATATCCGTAATGGGGGAAACGTAAACCTTTCTTCCATAGCTCTCGCCCATTATATTCTTATGCTAATGTTGCTACATTGTATCACGATTGCCATATGAACTTCATTTAAATCAAAAGAGTCCCTCGTTGTGAATTCTAAATAAAACACTTGATTACTGAGAATATTTTAATTCATTATTTCTTTGATATCTATTTGTCACTCGACGAGTTCAACTATGACGTAGTGATCTATGCACTAATTGTCCATTCTGATAATTGTCAAAGTTTGGTAACTGATAATTTACGATAATTTCATGCCCATAGAGTAAAAACAAAAATTAAAAAAAACATTGAAAATAAGTCTGTAAACTTTTGAATATGCATTCAAGAAATCTAGAATTAACATATAAAAACAATAAAGTAAATTTCTACGGCTAAATTAGGTGTTCCTTTATTAAAGTATTAATTAATTTTTAGTGAGCATTCTTTATTTTATTGAACATTATTACTGAACATTTTTATTATTATTAAAGTTTCTAAAAACATAGGTGAATATTTAGAAGTCATCAGTACCTTTTCTTTGTCTGGGTCCTTCTTAAAGAAGAGTAGTAAAACAATAGAATTATTTGTTATCTGAAGCCAGCCTTGGGATAGATTTTATGATAAAGTTTTCAGTTTTATAAAAATAAATATTAATATGAATATCTAATGAATCACAAGATCATTAAAACATAAAATATTCAGTTTAATTTATGTAGAGAGTTTAATACTGTTTCGTTGTTTCTTATATGCATAACATGTTTTTACAGTTTTCCGAATGTATCCGTAACTTTTCAGTCATAAAGAATTTTATTTATTTTTGAAAGCTGAAATAATGTTTCCATTTAAACACTCAAAATGGAAATCCTGAGGCTGAAACGAATCGTAAAAACGCTTTGACTATTTCAAAGTGTCTACATTGAAAAATTGACTCTTCTAAATGTTTGGCCTAAGAAGGGTTAAGTTTATAAATAAAATCTAGTAAATTGAAATAGATAAACCGGAAAAAAAACTTGTATCCATAAAAAGCACATGACCAGATAATTTGCAACCCAAGCGTCGAAATAATACTTAGAAAGGTCAATTTAGAAAAAAATCATGCAAGATCAGAAAATGTCACTTATAAAATAAAAACATCTCAAAAGAAAGGGAAATCTCTCAATAGGCTTCTTATCATTTCTTAGAGAACTGCGAAAAAACTGCAGCTTGACACATCGTTATTAGCTGAATGATTTGTAATGTTCACTGCATAATGTTCGAGCTATGGAATTAATATTAAGTACAATAACAATAAAGGAGATTATGTTAAAAATAAAATTTTGTCGTTTGACTAGGTACTAACAGGAAACACTAATCGATACATAGGTTAAGAATGAATAAAGACTTTAACCTATTAATGTCCACTGTAAAATCTGGCATTAATTGTAAAGATTAAAATAAATGTCCGTTAATATATGCTTCTAAAATAATCCGATAAAATTATAGGTTTATAAAAATCCAGTATTAATTGTAGGTTTCTATATATCTATAACCAATTAATATCCAAACATGGAACGCTGGGAAATAAATTTGTTAAATGAGAAATCATGTAATAAATTCCTAAAATAAAAATAAAGCCTGTTTCAGTTAATATAAATAAAATTCTTTGGAACTTCGAAAACTCACATGACCATAAAAAGTCAAGGACGTCAATAGACTATAAATAAGTTGAGAAATTGATCCATCCCATGACTTAACATGTTGATCGTGCAAGTATTAGATGTCAGGTGTCAATAGCGGTTCACACGGAATTTTGAGCGGAAATAATAATAATAATAATAATAATAATAATAATAATAATAATAATAATAATAATAATAATAATAATCACAGAGTTCTGTATTGTTGCATCTGTCTATGTAATCTAAAAGATGAAAGCCATGTTAATTAAAAATTAGGGGGTGATATTAATGTTTATTTGCTGTAGCTTGAGCTGTAACGGTTCTTATAACTGTGCATATAATTCAGTGCATATATCAGAAACTTGCACGAGAACTGCACATATGAAAGTGGAGGTAGTTCGAAAGGATTTGGAAGAGTTGAAGATCTAAAGAAGAGTTCAAACTATACCAACCACAGCAAAGA